GGGTGTTGTTGGATAGTGATACTGAGCTGTCCACAACAAATGACGATAACAGTTACACGCCTTGTGGTGCGTTGAAAGCGCCGCGCTTAAAACAGCCACTTTATCTGTCAACCTAGAGCATCTTCTCAGCGTTTGATAAAAAACGCGGCACTCCAAACGACAACACATTCCCGAAGTGACGGTGCACAGACCCATCTATTTGACATGGGGTTTTACTTTGTTAAGTGGTGAGGCAATGATTTAGTGTACGATACCGGAAAGGAATTCAGTCCTGCCAGCGACCTAGAGGGCACAGAAACTAATCAAGTTCAAACCTGGAAAATGCGGTCCAGTTTTATTCATTGCTGTAAGGTATGTTTACTCTTGTCTCCATTACATAAAAAAAACTTTTTTTGCATATAAAAGAACATGTATAGAAAATACGAAAATATTTTATAATATTTTTTTTCTAATGAATATGTTTTTACATGCAGTGAAAATGTCGGAAAATGTTTTTTTTTTTTTTTTAAAAAAAAAAAAATTGGCATAACGTTTAGAAGTCTCCAATTATTTTGATTGCACGTTATTTGATATTTCTTTTTACAACAAACCGGTTTTGCGGCGAGCTTCACCAGACAAATCCTCATAGTAGTAACTGCACCCAAAAACCGTAAATAAAACGATAATAAAGTACCAGCTCAGGGCAAATTGAGTTGCTGTATTTTTGCCACCTTGGTATTGGTGCCTTCTTAATTAATATTCAATGCTTAATTTTCATGCCCGTATACCGTGTATACAGTTTTCGTTCTTCCTCCCTCAATTTAATAATTATAAAACAGCTCATCGGCTTTTTAGTTTTTCAATTGAACAGCAGTTCACAACTAAGACTGAGTACACAGAACTATTCTTTTTGAAATGCCATCAGAAGTTGAGCTACGGGGTGCTGTTGGATAGTGCTACTGAGCTGTCCGCAACAAATGACGATTTTTTTTTGTTTCCATTGTTTTAATTTTAACTTTAAAACCCGTGAAATAATTTAAATTTGAAGGTATGACACAAGACAAGTAAATATATACTAGGACTGTTTCTCGTCAATGCGTGTATGGCTATTACTAAGTCAGTAATTGTTTTTCTCTTTAATTTTCTGAACTCTTGTTGTAGTTTTTGTCCATGTACTATTCACTGTAATGCAGTATTCAGACGAAATTTATCGGTACGAACTATTTATACAAATGGCTCTATCGAATTTTTGAATATTAAATTATGTAATTGATGTTGTCCCAGCAAATGGGTACCTTAGAATTCAGTCGGTATTTATATACTGTATGTTCACGACCGTTGAAGACAAATCAGTAGTATTGCGCCCTCTCGAGTCTAGAAAGTTTAAATGTGTCCATAGTATCACTGACGCAAACGGGCTACATTTTAAATATACTTGCGGATGGTAGGAGAGTATTATATCGATGTGGGTGATTGCATGTGAGGTACTCTCTTTTTTCTTTGGTTTGTTTTGTTTTAAATATAATTTTATAAAATAGACATACTGAGCGGAGTGCAGCAGATAACTGAAAAACCGAGCGAGAGAGGGCGGTATACGATTATATGGCGTAAACTTGTTTTTATTTTTATTTTCCAGTCAGCTCTGCAGGACATTGCACTTCTGATTGATGATCAAGTTGCTTTTTCATTTTGCATACAATAGGCGGAGTAAGGAAAGGTCGGATAGAGAAGAAAAAAGAGGGAGGAAGGGGAGGAACTAAGGAAGGAAGGGATGGGAGGTAGGGAGAGGGAAGTGGAGAAGAAGCAGAAGGAAGAAAAGGGGGACTGCTACTATACCCCTCGAAATAGAAAAAAGTAACCGTGATGTACCGTAACATTTGCTGCGTATGGGGCCATGTAACCGCCTAACAACTTGATTTAGAATCTAACGGGATGAACGAACACGTCTAACTTTTGTGTTTTGTGACGGACGGCATTTAGAGTATAAGAGTATTAATATTAGTGAAATGTTTTTCGAAATCATATTCACCGTATATAATGCATACATCGGTCGAAAATCCAAACCTCTCAAAACATGATAAGTATGTATTACAAATACTCGATTCTTGTTTTGCACAACATGTTGTGGAAGCATCTGTATGAACTTGCATGGGAACAAAATTCTTTGAACATTTATGAGTACACGTGCTACCCCTTTTTGAATGGTTTAACCTTAGTCTGTTTCAAGATAACATATTGTTTCCCGTTTACGACAATTAATGATTCCTAATTTTGTGAGCAAAACTTGGTTTGCGTGGTTTCGATCAGCGCTCATTTGCCACAGAGTGGTTCTACAACCAACAGAAGTGTACACGCTACACGAAGTACCGGCCTAAGATTTAAGCTTATCCTATATGTTTGCATATCGGATAGACCCAATTGCGTTCAAGCACGGAGGGGAACAGGACTAAGGAATGCCAATACTTATTAAGCTATACACAATCTTCAGTCATTTTAACTATGACTGCTCAGTATAGTAGCTAGGAAGATATACATGTTAGTTCCACGGTTATAAAACAACACAGAAGCAAATTCAGAAAGTGCAGTATGTAGCCTGAGAATAACAGGAAAAAGCACAGTATCTATTTGTCAGTATTTTTTTTCTCGAGAACAGTCTTTCTATTTGTGCTCGCGTTGATTGTCATGTCGGAAATGACATACCGAAGTGAATATAGTCACTAATACATGTATAATAGTAAATCACAGAGGGACTGTGAGTAAATGTTTCAAATGAACATTGAATACAGCAATTTTCATTTCTGGGCGCTCAGCCCAAGCTCATCGTTCGCGCACTCTTCGTTAGCCCGTGCTAAGGCTCTGGTCTTAAAAACGGGCCAGATTAAATACATTTTTGGATTAATTTGAAAATCCATGTTAACGTATCACTTCAGAAAAAGCTAAAGAGTACTAATTGTGATTTCCATTAATTCGTGACAATCAATTATAGGCACCCATCTTACAACTACAGACATTTTTTTCACTACATGAAATCAAACTAAATGCGTTTTACCGTGTGTTGTCTGTTTGCTGTAAATTTCATAATATTATTGATTAAAGGGCGGTGGTCGTGGGACAGCGCCCATTCGAATTTCACGTAAACAAACAATGTACACGCGTTGTGTACGTCGCTATCACGAGTTCCAAATCGACTGAGAGCAAGGCGCGGCGATCACTGCCCTTTAAAATTGGATAACTAGTCAACAAAATGATGCTCACCAAAAAAAAAAAAAAAAAAAAAAAAAAAAAATGAAAAATTTATATATTTGTTTTTCTTTTTCTCTGTCGCTACCCTAAAAGGTGAGAAAATATTTTTCTTAAAAACAAATTAAAGGTTTGAAATCGGGACGGGAGTGGACTTACATCTATACATATCCAGAACGTTTAGTTTACACTTTCTTTTCGGTATATTTCAGCAACCGACTTTTCTATCCACCATCAGTGGGGGCTTTATAGTTTGTTTCACTTTTTTGCTCACCATTTACTCGGATTTTTGTGTCTGTTCTAGTCTCGGTGAGCAACATTTTACTGGCCCTTTATTTACCATATTATTTGTTTTGCTTTCCGGGCTATAAACAAAGCTAAACATGCGAATATATAGGAATAATACAATAACCTTATTAACGAGTCACGTGACTAAGAGTGGTATGGCAAATATACCACACAATTTTAAAATACTGGAAATAAAAATGCTTATTATTAATATAAATAATTATGTTAAGAGACTTTCAACACAGAATAAGGCATTTTTCCTTTTTGTATTTTATACTGTGATCCATGGATCACGGTTGTATCGTTTTTCTTTTGTCTACGGAGCAAGTTGCACCCTATCCAGAGGGACTGTGATTGTTCATACTGAAGTTGGCGCACCCCTTTGTGTCCCGGGGTCGAAACCTGTCAGCATCTAACGGACCACACCTTCGTATTGACGGGTCAAAACCACTCATAACCTAACGAACTACACAATTTTATTGTTTTCCCAGCATAATCATGGACAATCAAGTAATTAATTGTGCCGCCATTAATTAATTAATTAGATAATTGACACAATACTGAATCAGGGACATTACAACATATGGCCACTAGCATTAAGCATGACGTCACGGTAAGTATGACGGGTATATTACTCGATTGGTCATTTAAAATCTGATCATATCCCAAATCACTTTCCCCCTCAAGCAAATAATTCTTAAAAACGTGCCCTTTTACCATATCTCAAACCTTCGTAATTCCGCCAGATTTGCACGAATGGTATATAATTTAAACAACTGCCATCAAGACATGCACATTTCCCAGAAATATCCACCCTTCATACATATATATATAAAAATAATCTCTTATAATAAACATATTCCCTTCTCCTCAAAATAATGCAAATGAAATATCCGTCAACGATGGAATCCATATTCCAATTACTGCGGTTATTTTACATCCACCTGTATCCCATCACACGGGGATGTATGAATATAACAGAACCGGGCGATGTACAACGGGGTTTGGCCGTTTTGATTTGTATCCATATTTGCCGGATGATGTAATACCAATGCGGAATATATTTGACAAAAAATATATATATTCAAAAGTTGCACATGTACCTGGTGTACATTATTTATTACCGATAAATATCCATATTAAAAGAAAGGTGGTCCGGTCCACGTGGCTATGAAGAATAGGATATAATCAGAAAAAAATGTAAAATCAAAAGGCGAATTATCATAATTTAACTGAGGGTGTGCAAGCCGGGCTACTGTACCTACTATACTTATTTAATTTGTGCTTTCATGTAAAACTTATCTGCAATATTATGCATGTTGTGATTTTAAATTGCTTATACTTTTGATTATTTATATTTCATTGATATACTAAATTTGGGAATTATATTGCCAAATCGGCGTAATTTGGCCCTCCCCTACAAATGAATATTGGAACAGTCCGACCCGCGCATAAAAATGCACAATCATCTCGTGGGTTTCTCAGTTCGTCCTGGAGGAAAGAAACAACCAACCCCTACCGCTTTCTTTTCAACATGGCAGCCATGGTGCAGAGTGGTGTGTTTCGTCGCTTAGTCCAAATAGCACTGTGTTTTCTGTTTATTTCGATATCTCTTGTCAAACCTGACGACGAACAGAAATATGTTCTCGACGCTGAAATGTTTGCGAAGGCTGTGAAAGATAAGGCTCATTTCATCATGTTTTTCGCACCGTGGTAAGTAGAGTTACCTGTACGCCTACAGCTCTAGTAGTGCCTGGTATTTTGGTCTCCAAAAGTTTTTGTACAACCAATATTTTGTCAACATTCCGTCTTTTATATTGTATTATCAACTACGTTGTTGTTTGATGCTAACGTGAAGAAATAATTTTTTTTCTGTTTGAAAAATCTGGCCTTTTTAATACCTGCAGTTTTCTTGAAAACTGCTAGCACAGTCGACTTGAACGGTTGTTTTGTTAGGGCCAGGTACGGTGAATAGTCGAATGCAACGTGGCATTCGAACATTGGTTGCTGGTTACTACAAGTTTCCATTTGTATTGAATACATAGTCATTTCAAAGTGTGGACATTTGTACTATACTAGAGTCAACATTTAAATCGGTACCTCCTAATGGTTCAAACAACGTAATGGCAACATAATTGTCCTTGTTAGGTCTGGACGCTTTCGATTAACAGTGTCAAACTGTGTATCGCCTATTCACTTCGAACAGTTGTTGAGAAAAATAAACATAAGCCCATTCTGTTTTGTATGTTTTCCAGTATTTTTAAATTGTATTTAAATTAATCCAATCATTTAGCTTTGCCTTGTGCCGAGTTACATACCATATGGTAGGTTACATAGCTTTGTTAGAACTCCCTGATATTGTGGCATGTCTACTGCACAATTAAATTTAACAGTCCTAATTTGGGTTTGTAGCTCACAAATAATATATAATGAAAAGAAAACATGATCACACACAAATGTGCATTTGGATGGATGGAGTTGCGTGTGAAGAGATTTAAATCCAGCATCGATGACTGCATTGTTATTGACCTTACCTGTAGTTTTCCAAAATACCAAAGTGCAAAAGATTATATTATAGTAATTTTGTTCTTCTTTGGTAGCTAACCTACTGTAAAATACTTTACTTTCGCTTGGAATTTATTTTCGCTATTTTCGCTGAAGGGATGATTCAGTGAAAATAGAATCCAGCGAATATATTTCACATTAAACTCATCAAAAATCAGTAAAAATAAATTCCATACAAAATGCCCAAAAAGCCCTTTCAGCGAGAATAAAGTATTCCACAGTATTTTAATAAAAAAAGGAAACAACATATTTTCAAAAAAGGCAGAGTGGTGGAGGAGGTAAGGAAAACTTGATATTTTTTCTAAATATCTTTGCAGAAAAAAAATCAAAACAATAAATAAAATTGATCCATGCTGATTATGCATGAACTAGTAGTTTTTGGTACAAATCTGCAAAATAAATAGCTAATTTGCTTACTATGTAAATAATTGCAGAACTGTTTTAATCAATTTATTGTAATTGCTGATTATCGTAAAAGTGAAACTTTTCAGTTTTTAATTTGTTTATTTAGTAACGCTGATTAGCCTATTCTGCACTATATTACATCCAATTCTTAGAACTCATTGTTTTACTATTACCGGGTAAATATATTCACAGTTGCTATGCACACAAATTAGTGAGAATGTTACATCAAGTCAATAGTGCACATTTTTAGTCTATAATTACTATAAGTTAATACTACCAGTACATGTATGAATTCAGATTTACATTCATTGCAAATATTACTCATAAAATATTTTTCCTTATGATATATCAAAATTGTAGAAAAGTAGATTTATCCCTGTAGTGCAATAATACCTATAACACATTGAAAACTGCTGTACTAAAAAGGGTGTGGTTTATATTCTTATTTGGTAACTTGTACAAAGCTAAGAATAAATGACAATTATGTTTATCAAAACAAGTGGAAACATGCCTTTTAATATAACAGTTTTGAATACATGTGTTCCTGTGCCTTTTTACTGTATTACAAAGAGTGTGTGAATGGGTTCTTTTGGTCACCTACCTAAGCTTTGAATAAAACATTTTCAGTGAGTACTTTAACCAAGTAAAATTGAATATAAAAAAAAAAATAGTGAGACAGATTTCAACTCATGAAAACTGGAAATCCAGTTACATTTATGTTTTTAATGTTATGAACTAAAAACAATTGAAAGTAGTACTGTAAAAAAATTTATTTTAGCTGAAATTAATTTTCACTGAAAAAAATTTGTGGACATTTTGTGTGGAATATATTTTCACTAATTTTTGGCAAGTTGAATGTAAAATATTGGAATAACTGTATATTCGCTGGATTTTATTTACACTGAATCATTCCTTCAGCAATAGTAGCGAAAATTAATTCCAAGCGAAAATAAAGTATTTTACACTATATATTTGTACCTGTGTGGTACATTGGCGTACAGAGGGTGTGAAGTTTTATAACTCTACTGACTGCTCATAGCATGTGCTATTATGTTGGGGGAGAAGTGCTCTATTCCATGGGATAACAAAAACTGCTTTTCTCGATACGCTTTAAAAAACAGTAAACTATTTTCACATGATTTCATTCCCTGTAAGATCTCTAATTGAGTTCTTTAATCTAATGAATAATTGTTATTCTTGGACTTTTTGAATACTTAGTGAAGCTTACTGAATTGTTATAATCCGACAGTATTATTGAGTTTCACTGCAACCATATTGGTGAATAGGAGCAATTAATATATTCAGTGGATGAGTATTTCAGATTATGTAGTTATTAAAAATATGCTAACGTACGTCCAGCTTTGCTAAACCCTTGTTGGATTTACACAGCCTCGGGTTTTGTTAATAATCTGCAGTTCTTGCATGAAAATAAGTTCTCAAATTTTTATTTCTACATTTTTTTGTGCTAGGATTCTGGATCTTTCAAAACAAATTTTCTCTTTCAAAATTTTAGTCTAGTATTTTGCATATTTAAATTTATTGTTTAACAAGTTTTGTTAATTTTGAACCAAAAGTACATAATTTTGTAATTTTGTTACTATTCAGTAAGTATTGGTGTATATTGAGAAAATATGAAAAAAAAGCTATGCGAGATGTTTGTAAAATTTGACAAGTTGATTTTGCTTTTTAAATTAATAAACTTGTGTATTGCCCTATCACATAGAATTTATGCTCTTTCTAGGCACGCTACTTCACAAGATATTCCAATTAATATGATTAAAAATCGACTTCAGCATAAAGTGCTTAACCATTCAAAAAATAAACCAGCATTTTTTCTAGAGAGAAATTATGTTTAAAATTAATGACGAAATTATAGAAATGTACATTAGAAAATTTGATGCAAAATTTTGCATCAAAATTCTGTGTTGAAAAAATGACATTAAAAACGATTACTTTTGTAACTCAACCTTGCATTCTTTCAATACATTCGCAATAAATTAAAAAAAATTGTATACACAAGGCCATGCAAAAATTATATTCATTTATTAATTATTATATCTCAATTTTTCATGTTTATTGTGTAGCCAGGTTTCAATTTCCCAGTCAATCATTATAGTGCAACTAATTTAAATATATAAATTGAATCAGAGATGGTGGTAATACATATGGTCGATTCTAATTACATTGTGTTATTAAGCCCTGCCTCCCTACCACAGACTTGCATAATTACAAGAGACGTATGTACATGTGCGTTTTAGGCATACATGTAGCTGCATTAATAACTGTTGTACAGTATGGAAACACATGGGTGTTTTTTGACCATATGGTGTACAAGATGAGCATTTCCTGAAGGCTTACCCCAAGGCACTATTTGGGTATTTCATTTCCAAATTATGCTAGTTTTGTTTCTGGTAGATCACACCAAGTCTGACTAGTTTGATGATCAAGTAATATTTGACAATAATTAATTAAAAAAGCCTTTATAAAAAAAATAATTACATGTAAATAAAGTCATCATAAAAAAAATAATGAATAGCTTGGTTTTCACTGTGTTCGCAGGACTGTGTTGATATTAATAACTGCACATTAATTCCGATTGATGAATGAAAAAAATGCAACAGCCAGTGTAGGTCATTTCTTGTATTCTATTCAAGGCTTGTTGACCAGTAAAATTATGAATATTAAAAACAAGTTTTACATTGGTCTCCAATTTACCACAGTAATTATCAGGATAAAAAAAATTAGAAAAACAGTGTGAAATAATACACTGACGGGTAAATTGAGGGAAAATAATTCCCATTATCACGCCTTTGGCAGTTTAGTATTAAGCTGACCACCATATGGAGGAATCAGAATTATCTAAATCTGAATGAAGATCCGCTTAAATGACAGCCTCCAGTGTACTATATGCATGCCAAACGTGTACTGTCACAAAGATACTTGACAAAAATGAATAAATGCATTTAAAAAAAAAAATGCAAATGAAAATAGGGGGAGAATATCAACGCCATTTTGAATTTTTTAACGTACAATGTTTCTGCTTACTACCACCACATACTAGTATCTTATAAAAGAAATGATGCAGGTTAGTTGCGCCGCCACAGTTAAAATAGAGAAATGTTCAGCCAATCATATTGCTTCTTCTATCTAGGATAGGGAATTATATTTTGTTTTCCATGTATGATAGATCACTAGAATGCCCTCCTTACTCAGTTTCAGGTTGATTATGGTTAGGCTGAAAAAAATCAATATATTAGTAGTCAGAAATGGCTTTATTTTAGTTTTCTTCCTTTTTTTTGCCCCAATGGACCAACTTTTAACAAGTATTTTATATAACAGTCCTGTCTTTAATACAGATTTGAGATTATGAAAAAATTACCACCAATTGCAAGTTAGTCGTAACAGTTTTCTTACAGTGATGTTCCGGAAAACCACTACATCAAATTAAGTAAATGAACCAAAATTATTTCTGTGGATGGAGAATTTCCATGAAAATAAAATAGGCTTGCATGTAGCCATGGTGGATTATACTACATTGTTTTTTTTGGCCAATTATCAACCTGTTAAATCACTTGGAAAATGGGAAAAATTATTTTGCATTATGACATTTTCAGCTAGATTCGTGTACGCTTTTCAAAATAAAAATATGTATCTTCAATAATTTTTTCTAAATGTATTTGAAAATGGAAAAACTGTCTATTGAATAACATTGTTAGACTAGGCCCCCAGAGATGAGAGAACAAACATGTTTGATTTGTTGAACTAAAAACTTACTGGTAACTGCATTACAATATAAAAGAAAAGTGCATTTTTAAATCAGAATTCAACGATCTGCATGCTAAAACTGAAATCATGTGTAAATATTGATACACAAATGTATTTTGTATGTTCACAAATACAACCATTTGTCCTTACTATTGTTCCTGGATGAATACAGGAACCAGACAGGTGGTTAACAAGCAGTGGCATAGAAACCAAAGGAGGCATTCTGAATAAAACTCGTATTTATGATTTTTGAAATCAAAAATAGAATGAGGTCAAAAACAATTGCTGGTACATCTATATCAATACTATTTCATCCTAGTACAATAATAGAAAAATTCGCGTTTTCATGCATATGTACTATTGTTGTCAATTACCAGTGAGGATTCTTGTGGCTGTTTTGAATGAAATTGAATTAACAATTAATGTTTTTATTGTGTTCCAGGTGCGGTCATTGCAAACGACTACAGCCAACATGGAATGAACTTGCTGAAAAGTACAACAATAATGAAGATAGTGAAGTTAATTTGGGCAAGGTATGTACATGCACTTAACAAAATCACCAAAACAGTTTACAATGCTGAAATGTCTTGACTGCGAGTGCCTATTTTTACAATAATGCCAGTTTCAAATGTTCAAACGATTAAAAGGATGGTTTGAATCCAAATCTGATAGTACCCCATAAAATCTGTATTAGTAGCCACATCCCTAATAGAAGTCGCACCAATTTATTTTGAATAATAGAGAACCAAAGATTCATCATTATGTGTAGGTGCTCTAATAGAAGCCACATCCCCTCTATTGCATTGTACCATTTTAATAGAAGCCGCGGCTTCTAATACAGATTCTACAGTAGTTTATATGTTAGTACTTGTAAATTGCATAAACTCTATAATACTTTTACTGTTCTCTCAAGATTTTTCTGGCCAATGGCATTTCTGTTTGAGATCATATACTTGTGCGGATTTCAATATGTGCATTCTTAGGCGTGTGTAATTATATCTCTTCTGTACATTTAGGTTGATTGCACAGTGGAAACTGCACTGTGTTCTGAATATGGAGTTACAGGCTATCCTACGTAAGTGTATTCTGTATTTATATTTATTTTCCCGCAGTGTGGCCGCTTACCCATTTGTGCGTCACTGATTAGCAGTACGCCGCTGGAATCGTACAGTTGCTGCACAACATTGATCTTGATATATGGTTCCCATGTTAAGTTTCCTTCCACTGTCTTCTTCTCTGGGCTAATCTGGTGATTGTGTGCCAGTTGTGCCCCATCTTTTTTATTTCCTGTTCCCATATTCTATGCCAGGTATTTCTTGGCCTTCCTCTATTTCTTTTCCCCTGTGGATTCCATTACAATGCTTTATTCAGTGTAGGACAAATCCAAGTCAATTCTCTTTTCTTCAGCTGATTTGTGTGAGGTAGCTATTTTGCTTGTTCCCAGAGCTTTGTTACTAGTCCCATTTGTGTTCCAAATTTAATAGACTCTTTGGTATTTAGGACATTCTACCGACCAGCTTCCTTGCGGCTTTTACTCGCCATCTTCATCTGAGGCCCCATTACTTTTAGTTTTTGTTCTGAATTCGGCAGTCTGTTTTTCTGTAATCCAAGTTATCCACTTAGTGGGGGATTAGCCTACCAAGCGTCACAAGAGCCCTGTTAGTCAGCATTAACTGTTTACACCTTCCACGATGATGATGTAGGGTTAGGGTTATGATATTCTTTGAGGTATGGTTTCCATGTTGCGTATAGCATGTGTACAAATTTCATGCATAGGTTACAGCATTTTAGTAGAAGTTCATGCTTTTGAGTACAGGTGGTTGCTCAAGACCCTTAACTGCAAAGATGTGTAGATATCTATCTTATTATCCCTTAGCATATTGCTGGTTGGGGATATATTGGTTAGCAGCGTCTGTTTGTGTGTATGTATGTCCAGAGTTGTATCAGTACTATTGCAGATATAAATATTCAGTGTTGTATTTAAGACATTGCACCCTAGAACGTATTTAATCACCATGTGGTCATGTGACCTCATTAAAAATGTATACCATATCTGTAGCAAATAGACTTAACCAGAGCAATTTTGAAGACACATGATCTAATCAACATATTTAATGACCATATATGGTCTTGTGACCTCAATGAAAATGCATGTGCCTAATATGGATACCATAATATGAATAGTTGATTGTAATTTTTACAATTGCCAATGAATTTTCATCAAACTTTAGTAGATTAGAATGTAAAGTACCAACGCTTATCTAATAATATTTTTGGACCTACTGTCTGTTACCTAAACGACAAGTCTTATGTGTACTTCCTGCAATACATGTACTTGTTGGTAGAACCAGGTCGGTTGTGGTAATTTAATTTATAAACTCAAATCTTGCACAGTGTGTTAAATTCTACACTGTATTCCTCACTATAATAATTTACCAAACTGCCTCCTTTTTTTCCCCCCATGTTTTGATTTTTTAAATTATAGGGTGGATTTATTGGTGTTGACAATAACTTGTTTTTTTTTATAATATGCCATCTGACTTGTTTAAAAATCTGCATAGAAATTGCAAAAATTTAAAAAAACATTTCTGTTAATCCTTAGAATCAGTAAAGTGTTAATAATTTGTGTGTGCATATATATAGAAGTTGGTGTTAGCTCCAGGTTGATTACATTTATTTCAACTAGAAATTAGAAGTACACATTTTTCACAAAAATGTACATTTTTGTACAGCATAACTTTCGCAGTGTCCTTTGTGCAATGCATGTACACTACACATTATTTGCATCTTGTTTTGTATATAAATAAACCTGTGTAAAAAAACTATATACAAATAGTGAAATCACCAGATATACTGGTATATTTTATGCTAGCAATATTCTAACTGTAGAGGGCGCTAATCACTCCTATAAAGGATTGTATCCTCGGGCAAAGCTATGTCATAAGAATTTCCAAGTTGCTAAGTCGCACACCACTGTACCACGTATTCCTATGGGCTCTGAGCGTGCTGCTAAGGAACCTCAAGCGATGATCCGGTGAAAATTTGAGAAAACAGGAACTCAACTTTGAAGTAATCCTGAACAATCAAATCGATGTGCGTTACACACACAGGGCTAATCTTGTTCAGGGGAGTCTCAACAATGTATTCCAAAGTACCGTTTTCTGAGAGTTTTCGGCTTTTGTTTCCACCGTGATGGTTGCCATGCGCTGAAAATGCCCGGATGTCCGCCCCCAAGAATTGTATTGTTCCTCAATCCTTTCCCTTGATACAAAAAGTAAATAAATACATTTTTTTTATTCACTCGGTTATAATTTTGCTATTTTATCTAATAAATAATATCAGCAAAACTAAATACATGTGAATGCTAAGTGAGTATTTTTAAGTTAGCATTAAAAATCAAGTTAATTGAATTAATAAATAAGAATCTAAAAATCAATAAGATTGTGGGCAAGTCTAACAATAATGCTGACAGACATTACTTACTATACTGTCCATTCTACCTGGTTGTTCACATCTGTCAAAACATTGCTTTTTGAGACTTGTAAGATTGTAAAGTACAAACTAGATGAATGCTTTGTGGTTAGAATTTGTACTGCTCACTTAAAATTACATACAACAGTGCCTGACACAGTGCACATTCATTTCAGACTGCGAGGGCTCACTGCACTGCACTGCTAGTGCACCTATATATACCTTGTACTGCCTGTGAACCTACAGATACTGTGTTCTGTTTAAGGCACATTGTATGGTAACTGCTTTGGGACATGCACCAAATAATTTAGTTTACCAAAAATCATTTTCTAGATGTTACATATTAGCTACTTGTGATGGAATTTACCTACTTACGGATTCCCTGCTAAAACAGGCTGTTGCTCTAGAAAGTATCCTGTATCATGATCAAGTTCAGATCAGTTGTTGAATTTCCTTTGAGACTTGAAATGGGATTTGCATAGTTTGTCAGGTATACAGTTTAGGTTCATCTACACCAGCGGTTATATATTAAAAATGAACAGAGCAGCCTCAACAAATTTCCATTCTACTAAAAACGATTTTATTTAAAAAAAAAAAACCTTGGAGTATTTGTAGTTTTTTTTTTTCTATCCAATCATAGACAAAAATAACAGAAAATGAAAAAAAAACACATCCAAGACGAGAAAATGGTTTGGTCAGAGTGTAAATATGTGCGTCAAATGAGGTCAATTTCAGGGCATGGACCGAGAGCATCCGCAGAACCCAGAAAGTAGTTTGCGCATGCGTATATTCCGCTTCATTATTACAACCAACTGCTCTGCCATACTACTGTCAGATTATCAATTATGTTTCAGTGGGAGGGTTTTGGGAAAAAACCTAAAAGAATTAAGTTTTTTATCAGACATCGATCTTTTGATGTCGTCCCTTAGTATAGTTGTACATAAAAGACTTTATCTGCCTGGGCCATTTTATCAAAATCAGTCAGTCCTGGAATCGTATTATAAATATATTTTTTTTTGTCTGATATAGATTAAAGTTTTTTAGACCAGGTGAAGAGGCGGTAAAATACCAGGGCAAGCGTGATGCAGAAACATTGGAGAAATTCATGAAAGAAACTTTGGATCCTTCTACTAAGGTGCGTGTGTTGGAATTCAAACAAGAGGATGACGCGATGTATAGCTATGCAATTCGATGCAGATTTAATTTGATTTAACCTAGTATTTACCCTGTTGTGTATATTCAGTGTTGGTCATTTGCTTTACTTCCTATAATAGCATCTAATAGAGCTAGCGTATCTTAATGGCTGTTATTGAACCTCGTCTAGTCTAGTGGTACAATAAGTGTAAAAGGAGAAAATATTGAGTGTGCTTAATTTAACTTGATATGACTTTGCATGGGTATCGGCTGGCTGCATTGTTATGAATTAAAACTATATGAATGGCCTTTGTGCCACCCATTTGTCACAGAAGCATAAAGTTTGATGTACAGAAAATGTGCATTATTTACTGAAGTTATAAATTGCAGAATAGTCCGTTATAATATCTTTCAATTTGCTACTGAATCTGAAAAATCTTTCTTTCATTCTGTTCGTCTTCGTGTGTTTTCTCAAGTAGCCAATATTTGATAATTGGTCAAGAAACCCAACCATATTTTTCACTGTGTCTAAAATGTATTTGCATTGTTTATTGTTGGTCTTTAGGAAGAACCTGAGGTGGCAGCCACTGGACCACCAGAAGCTAAAGATGGTTTATACGAGTTGAACGCTGGTAACTTTGACAAACATGTAGCAAAAGGTAGCCACTTTGTAAAATTTTATGCTCCTTGGTGTGGTCACTGTAAACGTCTTGCTCCAACCTGGGAGGAACTTGCAAAAGACTCAGACGGCAAAGTGACTATCAATAAGGTAAGTCTAATTGACAATTCAGAATACCTGCCCAAGTCATAGATGAAAGGATAGGTATATGCATTGGAAAAATGTTAGTGATTTTACATTCGCGAGCACGTCTTTTTCACGAATTTAGCGAGAGAACTAATTCGCTAATTCAAGATGTCGCTAATGACTTTATTATCAATTCAAAATGGCCGCCAAACAAAGAAATAAACAATGACAAGAAAGATTCGCTAAATCAACATTTCGCTATTACGTCACTTTACCACAATTCGCTAAAATTGCATGCTGCTTTTTCAACATGTTTTACAGTATTTTTTTCTTTCTTGTTACTCAACAAATTTATCCAATCTTATTCAAACTCTGATTCAATAATTAAACTTCAGTTGTTTTGTGACTAATGTTTACTTTTTAAAGCAATAAATATAGATATTATTACTACTAGGTAATATTGGGTTCCATATTTTTGTAATTTTAGTACTCAGATATTTTATTTAAATAGTGGTAAATGTTTTTTTTGTTTATACTTGATGTCCACTCAAATAGTTATCCCTTCTCACAGTACAGTCCTAGACCAACTTTTTTGGGAATACTATCCAAAAACATGGGTTAGATTAGTAGTAGTGTTTTGGAGGCCAACTTTGGGTATTTAAACAATAACTGGAAATTATGAAATTTTCATCTTGGAAATGTTATTATGCAACAGAAAAGTGTGTTTCTGTCATTGTTTAGACCAAATTGTTTCTCACAAGGTTGATGTTCCCAGTTTTGGTGGCAGACCTACTTCAATTTTTTGTTTGTTTACTGTACTGAATTCCCAATGTAATTTCCATTATATTTAACCATTTTTTTCCTCCCAGATTTTGCCTGGTTTTATGTATTTTAAATTTTGGACGAAATGTACATAATTTCCTATCCTCGGGGGCGGAGCTACGTCACAGACGTTCCACGTTGCTAAGACGCGCACCACTGTAACATGCATTTCTATGGGCTCTTTGTGCGCTGCTGTGGAACGCCGGTCGAGCCGGTGAAAATTTGAGAAAACAACACAAACTCAACTTTGAAGTAATCCTGAACAACCAAATTTATATATGTTACACTCGTAGGGCTAATCTTGTTACACTGTTCAGAGGAGTCTCAACAACCATCCCCAAGTATCGTTTTCTGCCAGTTTTGGGCCTTTGTTTTCACCGCCGCGGGTTGCCAGGCGGTGAAAATGCCCGGATGTCCGCCCCGAGGATTGCTACAGATCTTTATCAAAATTTGATAAAAATCTGGAAACAGTTTTGGATTTATTTTGTGACCAAAGTTTATCTCTTAGAGAAATGAACCAGATTTTGTTATGAATGCATTTCCAGATTGATTGCACTTCTGAGAAACCGGTGTGCGATAAATTTGAGGTAAGAGGATACCCAACACTTCTTTTCATCAAAGATGGTCAAAAAATAGAGAAATATGGTGGAGCTCGTGATTTGGATGCTTTGAAATCATATGTTGAGAAAATGCAGGCATCTGGTAAAGAAGCACCTAAGCCTGAAAAGGTTAAGAAGGTAGAGGAAAAACAAGAGGTAAAAAAAGATGAAGACAAACCATCAAAGGTAAATTACTTGTATCAAAGCCAGTAATATATTTACCCCTAATGACAATGTTAACAGTAGGTTGAATATCAGCGCAAATTAAATTCATATGGCTAACTTGCAAGCTAACTTGAAAATCCAATGTTCTAATAACCCAATCAAGTTCTCCGACATGGTTGAAGCAACTGAGATTTGTATGTGTAATTTAAAACTTACTTTGTATAGTCACAATAATGTTGTACTCTAAAAACAGACAACTTAGCCATAGTACATGCATAAACAAAAATTAAATAGTATAAAATGAAGTGGCACCATAGAATGCAAGATTGCCACAAAATATAGCAAATCGTTTTTGTAGCAGATCATTTGATAGCGCCAATAAGTCTCCGTACGAATCTTGTTTGTGTGCACTGTAAACCAAACTATTGAATACAGCGACAATCTATAACATCATCAGGTGGAATAATATGCACATTATCTAAATTATATTTAACTAATTTGGTGTTGCAACAATACAGCTAATCCCCTTTTAATGTTTATATTTGTGAATGATCATTCGGTATATTCTGTTTTATAGGTTGTAACGCTTGGTGAAGATTCTTTTGAAACTGGTATAGGAACCGGCCTTACCTTTGTCAAATTCTTTGCACCATGGTAAGTTATTGTCTGGCTGAAGGTAATGCTTCATTCACTGGGCTAATTCCTCTTACTATTTATAATACTTTGATCTTGGTTCAACTCTTGTGTTAATTTTGTGTAGATAAACATGTACCCAAAAAATCTGTATTGGCTGTAACCTTGAAATAAAGAGGTAGACTTGACTTGTTGCAAAAAAACGAAGAACATTATATATGAAGCACCCTTCTATAATATTTACATAAAAAAATATATTCAGTCGTGCTGCAAATTATTAATTGCGTCATTAACCGTTTTACTCCATTTTCGCGTATTCTTGTGATCACGTGACTTGGTATTTACATAATTTAAAAAAATTGCCATATTTTCAAAGTTTGAAAAAAGATCTTTATTATGGTATATAACATGTATGGGTAAAATGTATGTTTCAGTCTGTAAATTGAGGCCAAAAAATTGAACCAGCGAACGTATGCTAACCCCTTAAATAACCCATTAGGTTTACATACTAGTAGTTAATGTTCTATAATCAGGAAGATATTGCGATGGACCTGTAAATGAAATAATTAAACTGGTCCTTGTTGATTAGCTTTACAGAATTTCAGACTACTAGAATTGAGGGATTTTGCTGACATAATGAAAGTGTCAGTGTCAACAAGTTATAAAAAATTAACTGAAATTTGTAGGTAGATTGGCCATTATAAATAATCTAGAAACAAAATGAGATTAACTCGATCCTTTTAATATTGCTCCTTACAATTAGCATGTTCTGTTTATAGGTGCGACGATTGTGATCGTCTTGCTCCAACATGGGAAGAATTAGCTGAGAAAATTGCAAATAACTTACGATTAGCATGTTTTGTTTATAGGTGTGGCCATTGTAAACGTCTTGCTCCAACATGGGAAGAATTAGCTGAGAAAGTTGCAAGTAAACCCAATATCAAGATTGCTAAAGTTGATTGCACTGTAGATAAAGATGTATGCAAAAAAGCAGAGGTAATGTGGATTTGTTTAAAGCATTGGACAGTAGTTTGTGAGTTCTGGTGCACAAGGCAGTGAATATTCTGTATAGTATGTGCTCCATATAGGTGATTTTCCGTACAATTGTGAGATCTCACGAGATGCATGAAAGACGCGCGTCGAACGTCTGCCGCAAAAATCGAACGATTTGATTTTGAACTCTAATTTCCTTATTTCGTAGCTCACACTGACCGGCCGATCTTCGACAGAGGAATACTGCTTCCGAATACCCTTACTTAATCGAAATTGCCTATCATCAAATGTGGACAGCACATTATTAAGCATGGAAATGTCATTGGCTGCCATGTTCAACATTTGTTTGTTGCATAGCATTAGTTAGTACCAATAGTAATGGTCAAAACAAGCTTCACTAACCATACTGAGCGTGTATGTAACTAAAGTGATATCAATGCAAATAAAATAAAATAAAGCACAAACATTTCATTTTTTGTGATCATGTGCATAGCATAACATTCTTAGTAAAGCTTTTTCAATTTCCATCAATTACGAACGTGCAGAGCATGATTGACGATATGTTCCAAAAAAAAGTGTTTTTATTTTATTCCGTGTGTCCATCTCAATATAATCAGATAACTACATCTGCCCAATTATGCAAAACATGTTTAGGTCTTGTATGACCTAAAATAAATCAGATTGCACATCACAGAAGAGCTGTCTGAACATAATTTGCATAGTTGAGTGTTATAAGAGGTGTGGTACATCCAGAATTAAAATGAGCCGCTGCTTAAAACACAAAAATCAACTTTTCATGCATTTTACAAAATAAAAGCTGCACAATTCTTTGCTTGTTCCCTTTCAAAAATGTTAATCGAAATGTAGAAAATGGAAAATCTACCCATGTTACATCAAAAATGTTACATCAAAAATGTTACATCAAAAGGTTGCTTGGAAAAATTGTCATTGCATGTAATAACTGATCTGTTTATTTCTATTCCAGGTTCGTGGATATCCAACACTAATTCTTTATAGCAATGGAAAGAAAGTAGATGATTATAACAAGGCAAGAGAATTGGATGCCCTGTACAAATACATTACAGAGCGCCCCCATGATGAGTTGTAATTCATCACCTTCAATATTTTAATTTTCTGTTAAACAGATTTCTTTTAATATTTTTTTTTTTTAATACAATTGTTTAACTCCCAAATTTTGTAGCTTTTTGCTTTGTTTCGTTATTTCTTCAAAAAGGTATAGATTGTTTTTTCAAGTAATACTGAGTCAAAACTGTTGATACTAAATAAGTAAACTTGTGATATGTCATAAACATGGTATATATTTATGTCAAACCACTTATTTTCCTAGCTGTTTTTTAGACTGCATGTGTACAGCCACATTTTTATATCATGTCATTCAGTTTTCTCAGTATTACATGAACAAGGATGAAACAAATGCAACTCTGCGTTACTGTTATTTCTTGTTGCGACTGTTGAAATGTTTTTTTTTTTGTTTAATCTCTATTTTTAGTATAATTTGCTTTAGAAACTGAATTACCATAGAAAACCCTGAAAAGAAGCCAAATGTGTACTTTTTAAAATCAAGTTTAAAATACATTTGCTTTTTCTTAGCACTAGCCAAATCGAAATATTATTTGAAAACAAGTAGCGCTGAAGTGTTTTCATTTGAACATTACCCACATTGAAATTCTCATTTTAACACCTTGCCTTCTAAAGTCTCCACCAACGCGATATAAACTGTTTCATCTTGGCACTAACCAAATAGAATTATTTGAAAACAAGTAGCGCTGAAGTGTTTTCATTTGAACATTACCCACATTGAAATTCTCATTTTAACACCTTGCCTTCTAAAGTCTCCACCAACGCGATATAAACTGTTTCATCTTGGCACTAACCAAATAGAATTATTATTTGAAAACAAGTAGCGCTGAAGTGTTTTCATTTGAACAATACCCACATTGAAATTCTCATTTTAACACCTTGCCTTCTAAAGTCTCCACCAACGTGATATAAACTGTTTCATCTTGGCACTAACCAAATAGAATTATTTGAAAACAAGTAGCGCTGAAGTGTTTTCATTTGAACAATACCCACATTGAAATGTTCTCGTTTTAACACCTTACTTTCTGAAAGCCTCCACAGACTAACCAGTTGGTGAAAAGTTAGCAGGCAATGTGCACTAGTAAGATCACAGCAGTATGATATAAACTGTTAAAAATTGGGTTTGTTTTGCTTATGAAAATACCTTTTATATAAAATCAATAGTGCTGCAACAAATATTTTGGTACCAAATTGAGATATAATTTTCTATGTACGAGGTGTTGAAAACTAAAGTGCAATTTCTAGTGTTATAAAAAGGTACCACTCTTGAATTTTACATTGTATAATGTGCATTGAGACCAAATCAACAGCTGGAAAGACTAATATATTGATTGGGTATAAATAAGCTGGTTAACATTGTCAGGCCAGTTTACAATAAATAAAAGAAATATGTTCTGAAAGTCTTTGTGATGGTCTTTATTGTTTGTCCTGTCTGCATTGTCGAAAAAGTACTTGCCACAGACATTAACGCTACTTTTTAAGTCCTTTCTAAGAGAAAGCAAAATTCCTGATGGCTGGAAAGAGGGTGTTGTAAAACCAATCCACAAAAAGGGTGATACAAAAGACCTCAACAACTACAGAGGTATCACTCTAAATTCCCGTTTCAAAAATTTACAGTAAGGTTATTGAAACAAAGTTAAGAAAATTTGTTGAAGAAAATAACATTCTGGGAGAAATTCAAGGAGGTTTTAGGGAAGATAGATGTGAGGATCATGTGTTTACACTCAAAGGTATAGCGTCCTTAAGGAAATAAAGAAATCTACTTGTGTAGCATTTCTTGATTTCTCGAAAGCATTTGATAGAGTTTGGAGGGATGGTTTGCGAGAAAGCAGGAATACAAGGACAATTATGGAATATTATAGATGACATGTATGAGAATGTTTTTAATAAGGTCAATTTTAATGATATTGAGACTGAATACTTTGAAACCAGTGAAGGTGTAAAACAAGGATGCGTTTTAAGCCCCGTACTCTTCTCAATTTATATAAATGAATTTGCAAAAATGTTATTTGAATCAAAACTAGGGGTGAGGATAGGAACACAAATAATTCCAGGACTTTT